CCCTCTTGCTCCGGACCGGCCTGCGTGGGTCCTGAGCAGGCGGCTCCAGTTCCTCCTTTTCGGTCGTTTAGCCACCCCACCCCCCACTCCCAGCTTGTTGGGGCAACAGCGGCGCGGACCGGGCTGGCGGGATCCGGTGGAGCTCGGCCAGAGCCCTTGCTCCCTCCCTTCTTCCAGGGAATCCAGGCCTGGGAGCTGCTGCCCGCAAGGATCTGGGTCTGGGAGGTGGTGTCACCGAGCGCGGTGTTACTGAGGGAGTGGCAGGAAATGGAGGCCTGAGCCGAGGCATCTGTGCAGACAGCCGTGCTTTTGCGCGGGGCCCGCTTGACTTAGGTGTAGGCAGTCCTTTGAGGGGGCCCATCAGCTGGGCAGGAACTTCCTGTCTAAGTTGGGGAGCTTCTCTCTGGAGAGCAGCCCCTAACCCCCCCCCCCCTTTTTTCCCCTCTCTGCTGCAGGGATCTGCTACACCATTTTTGACTTGGGCTTCCGCTTTGATGTGGCATGGTAAGGGCGGGCAGGGAGAGGATTCCCCCAGGAGCTGCTGCTTGCAGCCTTCCTTCTCGAATTTGAGCCCCCTCCTCCACCCCGTCCCCAGCTGCCTGGGGTGTGGACCTTTGGGAGATGAGGAGTCTTTTAGCAACCAGTACTGGTGGGGCTGGAGGTGTGGGGGAGTGAATTTGGTGCTCACTTCTCCACCAAAACTGAATTGCTTTCCTCCCTGTCTCCACCCCAGGTTCTTGACAGAGACTTCCCCCTTCATGTGGTCAAACCTGGGCATTGGCTTAGCTATCTCCCTGTCTGTGGTTGGGGCAGCGTGGTGAGTGTTGGGGTGGTGTGATTCGGGGGTGGGGATTGAGTCATAGCAGGTGGTGGTGCTGGGTCCTTAGTCACCCTGGGGGCACTGACAGGCTTGGCCTCTGCTCATTGGTTTCTTCTCCTTCCACCAGGGGCATCTATATTACTGGCTCATCCATCATTGGGGGAGGGGTGAAGGCCCCTCGGATCAAGACCAAGAACCTGGTCAGGTAAGTTAGGGCCCTTGGAAGGCTGTCAGAACCAGCTGCATTGGGAGCTGCCCATTTGTTTGACTTGACATTCTGCTCCCGAGCAGCCTCCTGATAAGGTGGGATGCTAGTGGGGGAAAGGTCCCGGGGGACTCTGTGAGGAGGAAGGTTGATTGCTTTCTAATCTCTTTCTCCTCTCAACCCCCTTTGCCCACCACTACTACCTCCAGCATCATCTTCTGTGAGGCTGTGGCTATCTACGGCATCATCATGGCAATTGTCCTTAGCAACATGGCTGAGGTATGGAGTATGGCGGGGGGTAGGGGGGGATCCATTCCAGTGTGTTCTGCACATTGCTTGGGGAGTACAGAGGAGCCTAGAGGTTGGTTTCTGATGACTTCTCTGCCTCCCTCAGCCTTTCAGTGCCACTGACCCCAAAGCCATTGGCCACCGAAACTATCATGCAGGTAGGTGTGTGTGTGTGAAGGCAAACCGCTAGGGCATCTGCTTTCCCCTTCCCACCCCCAGTTTAGACACCTCGTTTTGATATTTGGTCACCTACTTGGGCCTGCTTTGCACAGTGGGGCTGTGATTGGCCTCACTGCCCTCTTTCCATTCCCCCAGGCTACTCCATGTTCGGAGCCGGCCTCACTGTGGGCCTGTCTAACCTCTTCTGTGGCGTCTGCGTGGGCATCGTGGGCAGTGGGGCCGCCCTGGCTGATGCCCAGAACCCCAGCCTCTTTGTGAAGATTCTTATCGTGGAGATCTTCGGCAGCGCCATCGGCCTCTTTGGGGTCATCGTCGCGATCCTACAGGTGCTGAATGCTGGGGAGCCTCTGTCCTTGTCCCTAACCCAGACGCGCCCTCCTTCCAGAGGAGCTACAGTGCTCCCGCCTCCACCCGTGGGACCCCTGAACAGCTTCTACCACCTCATTCCCATCTTCTGGTTTTCCCCTTTTGACGCTTTTGGCTTAATTTTGTTTCTAATCAGGAAACACTGACAACTGTCCTATTTTTTCCCCCCCTGTTGTTTTGTGTCTGTGTTTCATTTAGTATCTCTCTTTTTGTTTGTCTCCATGGTTGGGATCTTGTCTGTGTCCAAATAATTCTGTCTCGGCGTGTTTGACTGTGTTTAGCAGGGCCTGTGTGTATCTATGCTGTCAGTTGAATAGCATGTCTAAATCGTGTCTTATCTGTCTGACAGTGTGTGAGTTTGTGGCTAAAGATCAGCTTGAGGACCTGAGGGTGACTGGGTGCCTGACTGGGTGCCTGCCTGGGTTGACTCTTGGCGACTGGCATTGTCTATATGCCACTTCTCTCCACCTTTCTGTCCCACAGCCTGACTGTCCCTGTTCATCTGTGTTTGTCTGTCATAGCATCTCCATTCTGGTCCAGTCGTCCCTCTGTTGTCATCTGTCCATCTCACCATGAGTTTGTTAGGTCTGATCTTCTGTCATTTGTCACTCTTACTATTCCTCTATCTCTACCTGATTTCTCCTGTTCTTGTTTTGCAGACCTCCAGAGTGAAGATGGGTGACTAGACGGTCTGTGTGGGGCCGCGCCCCACTCTTATTTATTTGTGGTTTTCCTGGGGCAGCTGGAGCTGTGCCCCTTTCGCAGGGCTCGGTGTTCTGGGCCCTCCCTGCACTCACTTCTTGCTGCCTGTCGACTTGGAGGCACTGCCTGGCTGGATCCTCAGTGTGGGGAGTGGGCTGCTGATGACTGTGCAGCTCTGCACCTGCGTCCCACCTCCACCCCCAACCTGTCTTCCCAGTGTTTGTGAAATAAATGTGGTATTTGTCTGGGTCAGTGCTGCTGTGGTTGCCCTTCTTACCGCCTTTCCCAGGAGGGTAAACAGGCCTGTAGGCCTCAGCCTCCTGCCACTCATACTGTCTCTGCTCTGGGCAAAGCTGGCGCCTGGCTGGGATGGGAGGGTGCTGGGCTGCAGACTCTGTGCCCCTGAAAATCTGTATTGAAGGGCATGAAAAATGGGGAGGTGTGGGCCCAGGTGTTCGTGGGGGGCAGGATGGGGAGTATCCGCCTAGTCCTATGCCCTTGGGACTGTCTGCAAAATCCAAACTGGCCATGCCTACTTCCCTGGCTCTGCCCTCAGGCATCCAGCACTTCCTAGCCTGGTGGGGCTTGGAGCTTATTAATTTGCCTCTGCCTATCCCAGCATCATCCCCTGCCAGTGACTAATTTGATCCCTTGTTCCTGGGGCATTGTCCAGTCTAACCCAACCTCCTGTGACCCTAGAAGCCCCAGCCACCATCAGGCCCAAGCCACAAACTTTTGTGCATGCCTTTAAGGGTCCTGCTCAACCAGCGCCCCCTCCGCTGGCCCTGGCCGACCTTGCATAACGCTCCCATCAAAGAGTTGCCGAATCCCTAACCTCCCCGCCCTAGTCAGCCCCTTCGGCCGAATTCGCGCTCCAACCCAGGCCCGCTCCCCCGCGATGGGTTTGACCTATCCACACCCTCTCCAGGCCGGACCTTGAATCCAAGCCCTTGAGAGAGCCTGACCGATTCCCTGCGCCCCTCCCGGGTCCTGTGCCACCT